GTTCCTAGCTGTATGCTTATTAGATTTTTTGTATCTATTATATATAGTAGGGTAGAGGTACCTAGCAATTTTTGTGGTATCCAACCCACTCAAAGGTTATTAAAAAATAGACCTCTTAATGGCATACAAACATAAATGATTTGCCTTTTCATATTTGGCAAAAAAAAGTCATTTTGTTCAGTAGTACTTTCATCGATAAGTTCAATAGGCTTTGGAAAACGTAAGGCTATGTCTATCTCACTCTTAACCAAAGCAAAATTCAAATATTCATTCCATCCCTTATAATTAAACCCATGTTTGATTGTTATTGACAGTAAAAGTCACTGTTTAAGACAAAAATGCAACATTAGCCAATGGACAATATCATAAAACATATAGCAACAGTTTATAATTTGTTAACAATTATTGAAAGTTCTTGGTACATTACCACAAACTCTTCTTTAGGTAAAGAATGTAACATGAGAATAAGAATTTTCTACATAAAGTTAATATGAGAATGACCTAGTTTTCAAAAAATTGTTTTCGAAAAACCTATCCTTTTTGGGCAAATAGATTTTCTAGAACATTATACCTTTGGGTAGATAAATTTTTTAAACCAGTATACCTTCAACCTTGACACTTCATTTTCCAAAATAAATTACCTTAACATTAACTCTCTTTGGGCAAACAATTGCACAAGATAATTTAATAACTATCACATAACCATAGAATGATAAAATATTCCATTAATTTCAATAAGTGAGTCATTTTAGTAGCCAAATACTTACATCAATTAATGAAAAAAATTTTCAACAGAAAATTTCATTAATTGCCTAAAATTTTCAGTTTGTATACTCTACCATAATGTATGTAATGGACCACTCTAGCTGAGATACTAAATCTAGATGTACTCATTAGGTCCTATAAGCAGTGTATATTGCATTTAAACTTGAGTTTTGAACTTGACTAAAATTATTTTTTAATTACTTAATCAATTATGCACATAAATTCAACTCGAGAGAATATAAAATCAAGGCTTATCTAGAAAGAGTACCTACTGTCATTAGTCTCCCAACACGTTAAAATATTTTACCATAAAATAAAATAACCAAAATCATGTGCATAACATATAACAATTACTGAACAATACATGAATGTCAAACAATAAATATTTCATGCAATTGAAAATTTTCAAAAAAAATAACAAAAAATTTCAAGTATGTCAAAAGAAATCAAAGCAAAATTGAATACCAGACAAGCCCATATGAGCCTTATATGCCATTTTATACGCCTGCGCTTCTCTAGCATGAGAAGGGGTCTTCTTCAACTTCCAGCAGAGTTGACAACCTGACTAGAATAGTTTTTGACCAATTCAAGTTTTTTGTGTTTTTCATCCATTTTTTATACATTTTTTTGGTATTTTCATCAAATTAAAGTGTCCAAAACTCAATTAAACTATTTTCCCGTCAAACCCATGTAAAAAACACATCAAAAAAACAACAAAAACAGGATTAATTAACCAAAAATTTTTAAATTACATAAACCCATATTTTACCCATTTCTATTCTCTTCATATTTAACTAATCCAAAATGAAATTTTATAAAATTAAACACTTTGATTTAACTTTATAACACATGAGAAATACGATTTAAGAATCAATTTCAGATTAAACACATAAAATATTAATGTTTTAATCAAAATAAGAATTTAGATTAAAACTTGAACAAAAAAACTTTCAACCTCAATTTCTCTCTCTATATAAGAAATTAGAAAAATCTCTTTATATGGTTTTAATCTTTTTCCAAATAGGAACAAAAGCCTTAAATTAATTTTTTAAAAAAATAAAAATAAAAATTTAAGATTCTAACAACAACTCAATTTGCCCCAAACATGCCATTCACTTGAAAATCAAACACAAAACATGATTTTAGGATCCTAATATCACACAACGATGGCCTGATATCACATGTAAACTCGAATCTAAGATCATTGTGTGATAATCAAGATACCATAAAAAAAATAAAGAGATTCGACATACCTGCTTGGGTGGTCATGATCAATACGTGAAAGCAAAATTATCCCTAGAATGACTAAGTCTTTCTCTTCACTCTTCTCTTACTTCTTCTTCTTCGTTCTTCTCTTACTAGAAACACTCAATAAGTAGTAACCATAACTTTTAGAAGTGAAGAAGAGACCTTAACCTATTTTATTAAACCTTAAAAGCATTTTCATCAAAGACTTATTGGGTCAAAGTTTAACATAATCACTAAATCATATTACAATAAAATGTGCAATCCTACACTAAAGTAATCATATTAAATTATTTAGATTTTCATACTTATTTAGTATTAAAATTAAATTTAGTAATCAATTTTATTAAATTATTAAAATTATCAATTAATAATAACCTAATTATAAAAAATTCTAATAGACAAAAAAAAAAAGAAAGAAAGTGAATAATCTAACGTAAGAGGATTCAATTTTGTTCTAACCTCTTCACGAAAAAAGTAGTTTATTCTAACGTCCAATATTAACTTAAGTTTTGAAGTAAAAAAAAAAAAAATCCCTTCCTTCTCAATCAAAATTTATCGAAATTAAATTTAAATACATTAAATTAATCGTGAAAAAGTAAACTTTTAAAATCACCCAAAAAAAAGTTAACTCGAAACAAAACTTAAATATACAGAACTTTACCTTTTACTTACTGTCAAAAAAAAAAAAAAACTATATCTTTTACTTATTTTTTATTTCAAAAATTATTTATCAAATTTACCAATAAATAAAGAAATTATTTTTCTATCAGTAGACTCAGCCAATCTTCATTTTTGAGTTCTGTACTGTCAAGCACTCATCTATATCTTTTACTCTTAAATCGTGGATTAAACATAATGATAGAGGTAGAGTTTTTTCTTTAATTAAGGTATTTAAAAATTTTTATTCCCAAAATAAGATATTTTTAAATTTATTTTCGTATTCAAGATATTTTAATTCAACTAAATGCGAAGTCATTTTTAAAAAAGAAAATAACTGATTAGAAATTTTTAAAAAATAATTTTCGTTCTTAATAAACATTTAAAACTAAGCAATCTAATTCTTTCTCTTTTTCAACCCTAAATATGTACAAAAACCCAGGTAAGAAATTGATAAGGTTCAATAGAATTCTAAGGACAAGGGAATGAAAACAATAGTTGCCCAACCCAACTAGCAAAGACTGATTACTGTTCAGTATATTCAACTAACTCCTTTTAGCAGAATTAAGCTTGCATCAGACATGTGGAGAACATGTCAGAATCTAACCCAGCAGAAGTCAAAGCTTTCCTTTTAGTTTTCACCACTCAACTTCTTCAATTTGTTTCTTTTTTGTTTGAATTTGTTTCCAAGAAGCCAAGCTACTCTTCGTTATTTCGAATGATTAATTTACCAAACAGTCACTTTGGCCTGTTAAATTTACAGAGATGTGGGGGGTGGGTAGTGGAAGAGAAGGAGTGCACCAACTAATGTTTTCGATCTTCCAACATGTAAAAACCTACAAACTGCAAATTAGGAAGACGGAGTGGAAAGAGTATTTAAATCTAAAACCAGAAAAATTTAAAAAAAAAAAATTGAATCAAGAAATTTTAGGGAAGGGATAATGAGATTTTTTCTGTGGGTGACGAATGGGTAAAAAGGCATATATTATTGCCTTTAACAATAGTGAGTGATGATACTTAAGTTTTTAAATGAACTGAACAAAAGAAACAATGAGTTTCTGAGAGATGGAGATAGTTACAGGAAAGAGAAAAGGGAAGAGAGTATGGTTTTAGGTATTAAACAACTAATTATATTTTTATAAAATGGAGGGCAGACATGGAATCCAAATGTACAAAAGTACCTTGCTTTAGGAATAAAGATTAAAATTACTCTAGTTTAGAAACTGAGATCATAAATCACTTTGGTTAGGGGAAAAACTCGATAGAGGTAGGGGGATCTAGAGTTGGAATATGCAGTTACTTGATGAGGCTACTTAAATAAACAATTAAATAAGATTGATTAACTTTAAATACATCTGAAGTATCTATTATTATCTTTTTTTTTTTCCCCAAAGAATTACTATCTTCTCTAATCACATGATAAACCACAAAAATTTAAAATAAATCCATAAAAAACAAAGAAAATTTCCATCCCTCATAAGAGTTTTTAAAACTTGAATGAGATAAATCGGTGACACATACTCTTATAAAATATATTAAAATTAATTAAATAGTTAAGATAACAAAAAAGTAAAAAATTGGTCAAGACTTTAAACCCATACAATATATAAAAATCACATTAGAAAACAAATATTAGAATTAAAAAAAATATTAGTTTTTAAATCATAAACTCATATAACATGTTATTTAACTGGAAGTAAAATAATTTTTAAATTTCAATCTTCTTGATAAAAGTTTTAATTTTTAAACATTCAAGACTCGGTTGATTAATGCATGATAATTGGAATCTCCTCTTTTGGAATTAAAGGAAAAGGTTTAGGTTGTTTATGAGTCAGATTTGGGCTAGCATTTCATAGATCGTACCTGAACGAGGCTCGGCATGGACATGTCCCACTCATCAGTACGTCTTAGCCCAAAACGAGACTCATGACAAATACAATAAACTTAGGCCATGTTTAATCTGCATGATGGATAAAATAAAATAATAAATATTTTATATCATAATTGATTTATATTTTTAAAAAATTATAAAATTATAGAAAAAAATTAATTATTCTTTTTGTTTATAATGATTCAATTCTTTTAAAATTCAAAAATTATTTTTAATTTATGAGATTAAATTTATATATATTATTATAATTTTAAAAATCATATCAATAATTAAAATTTTATTAACTTTAAAAAATATAATTTTGATCAATAATTAAATTTTTTTTAAATTTTTACACACATTAAATATAAAATAAAATAATATTATTTAATCTAAATTTATTTTAAATATTCTCTTGTCTTATTCTACCGTAATTTTGTACTTACAAATCCATCTTTAAAGCCAAGTGTCTCAATGCCTGACAATTCAACCATAATATAAAACCTGAAAAATTAGGCAGTGGGCACAGACAATAAACCATCAACCGGAGAAACGGTTGGCATTGATGAGCAAGCCATATGATTCAAATGGTTGTTTTTGGTAGTTAAGCGGCTAAAACAAAATGAACATACCATGTTTCTCTTCGGTCATATCGCCATTTTTTTTGTTTCATCCCTAAAATAAGCTTACTGACGGATTTTGCAACCTTAAAATTCTGACAAGCAAAACCTAGCTGTTTCTTTGTTTTAACTCTTTCTCCTTTCACTGACAGCCCAAAGTCCCTCTCTTAATCTCTTCACCTTGTTTTAGTTATTTATTTCTTTTTCTTTTTCATATATCTATTAAATCACAGCACCTGTGATTAAGGGAGCTAGATAGAAACAGAAAGAGAGAGGTAGAGATATGGCAGGCATTGCTACTGGTGCTTGTTCTTCAGGTTTGCTGTTTAGAAACAGAGAAGCAGGAGGCAATGGAGCTTCTCTGGCTCAATACAATGAACTTAGAGCCGTGGAGAGCTTGCAGTTATCTTCAACTGGAACTAAACCAAAATGGTTCATTTCTAGTTCAGGTAATTGGCTTTTGGTTATTGACTTCTATGAGTTTCTTGGTAAATATACTCGCTCGTTAACAGGGTCGTCGATAACAAATCCAGGGATCATGGGACAATAATACTAGTATTTATTTTTTAAAAGGGAAAGAATAGGTGTAATCAAGAGTGGGTGAAAATCAAAATCCCAGTTGTCAATTTTGTTCAACATTTATGTATTCTCTTGCTTATGTTTAATGAGAGTACTGACAATGCTGGATCAGAGGTGATACATTAGACTTCAAATGCTGCTGCTATTGATTTCGAATTGTTTCCTTTTTTTTTATTCTTTGAGTAGTTTTCCTTTACATTTCCTTTCTCAGTGCACCTAATAAATAGTAGTTTAGGTTCATGTCAGCAGTCTCTAGTACCTATCATTCTTTTGCAATATGTCAATCGAGGGACAGAATTCTCAAATCTATATATAATATCTGGTAAAAGACTTAAATAGTAAGTTAAAAACCAGAAGGACTTTGTCTTTGGAACGACCCTTCCAAACACACTAAAAGAGGACTTAACTTGTCTTATATAAACCTGAAGTCATCTTTCTATTTATCTTTCACCAAACTTCTCAACATTGCACTTTTCTCGCATGAAATGTGACACCTTGCACTTGATTCTCTGATTCTCTCCAAATAAGGATTTAAGGTAGTCGAAAGCACGTTTAGCATCACAAGCATGAATTCCAAAATTATTTTGTATGGTTGCTTGTAGAAACCAATACTACTAGATATTTTATGATACATTCTTGCACTATTTAATATGTCCATATCCTATTTTTCTTACAGGAAACAACTACTATAACTTATTGCTAAATACTCTCTTGGACCTTTTGTGTCCTCTATAAATATTGGGTGCTAACCGAGTCACTTTTTCTCAGCTTCAAAATGCAGAACAATCAGGGCTATGGCTTCGCCAACAGCCTCAGCTCCCAAAAGAGAAAAAGATCCAAAGAAACGAATAGTTATTACAGGAATGGGTCTTGTGTCGGTCTTTGGCAGTGATACTGAACATTTCTATAACAAACTTCTTGAGGGAGAGAGTGGTATCACGCAAATTGATAGGTTTGATGCTACATCTTATTCTGTACGGTTTGCGGGTCAAATTCGTGATTTTTCTTCTAAAGGATACATTGATGGGAAAAATGACCGCCGTCTTGATGATTGCTGGAGGTACTGCTTAGTTGCTGGAAGAAGGGCCCTCGAGGATGCAAACCTTGGTGCTGAAGTCCTTGAGAAAGTAAGTTTTGTGTTTTTAGTAGTATCTGCGTTTAAAAAATGTGGTATTAGATTAGACAAGAACTAATAGAACCCCACTGTTCTTATGCACGACAGATGGACAGAACTAAAATTGGGGTGCTAGTGGGTACAGGCATGGGAGGTCTAACTGCTTTCAGCAATGGGGTGGAAGCTCTTATTCAAAAGGGATACAAGAAGATCACTCCATTTTTTATCCCTTACTCTATCACCAACATGGGATCCGCATTATTAGCTATAGATACTGGCTTAATGGGACCTAATTATTCCATTTCAACAGCTTGTGCAACTGCAAATTACTGCTTTTATGCAGCTGCAAATCATATTAGAAGAGGTGAAGCTGACATCATGGTAGCTGGTGGAACTGAGGCTGCTATCATGCCGACTGGGATTGGCGGGTTTATTGCTTGTCGGGCATTGTCTCAAAGAAATGATGAACCCAAGAGGGCTTCAAGACCCTGGGACAAAGATCGTGATGGTTTTGTTATGGGAGAAGGCTCCGGTGTACTGGTAATAATAAGTTAATGGCATTACTACTTTGTTTTGAGTTTAGTTGTATAGGTACTTGGTATCTTTAGCATTTGTGATTTAGCCAATTTTTGCACAATTATTCCTTGCATACAGATTATGGAGAGCTTGGAGCATGCTATGAAAAGAGGAGCTAACATAATTGCAGAATACTTGGGAGGTGCTGTAACTTGCGATGCTCATCATATGACTAACCCGCGTTCTGATGGTCTGGGAGTTTCATCTTGCATAACCAAAAGTTTAGAAGATGCTGGAGTTTCCCCTGAAGAGGCAAGAGCATTCATTTAACTACTCTTGAAAGTTGACAATTGACAATGAAGAAACCTGAACAATTTCCGATGTGAACATGGTAAAACCATTGATCTACAGGTGAACTATGTAAATGCTCATGCAACATCAACACTGGCAGGAGATTTGGCTGAGGTTAATGCAATAAAAAAGGTCTTTAAGGACACTTCTGAGATAAAAATGAACGGGACAAAGGTGAGAAAAACATATTCTACCTTCATTCCTCTATTTAATTCCATGGAATATGAGCTTCAGTTCACATGCACAAAGAATCAAATTAGTGACATCTCACACAACAATAGCAGTCAAGATCAAAATTTTTAAAGAGAAGTTATTTACTGGTCACATGGCAACAGAACCTTAGGGCTAACTGCTGACGGAATTTGTTCTGTTTCTCCTTTCAGTCAATGATTGGACATGGCCTTGGAGCTGCTGGTGGATTGGAAGCCATAGCAACCATAAAAGCAATCACAACTGGCTGGGTGCATCCTACGATTAACCAGGATGTATTCACTATTCACCCCAACCCTTGTTCTTTTTATATTTTAACACTCCACTTAACTCTGTCAAATTGCGAATTTCATTTAAATAAAAATTCATGGAACATTTTGCTCATATTTATACCGTTAGCTTATAAATCAAGTGAAAATAGTTCAACACGAAAATTCTTACCTTATTTAATCCATTGATTTGCAAAATTATTTCATGTTCTTGTATCATCTCTTCTATGTAGAACCTGGAGCCTGATGTAATAATCGATACTGTTCCCAATGTGAAGAAACAGCATGAAGTCAATGTTGGTACGTATTTTAATTTTGCAACTCTAAAAAATTTATGTTATTGCAACAAGGAAGAAGTCAGTGTTTTTTTTTTTTTTTCAGATCAATAGCCACAAAATAAATATTTGGTTTGCCTTTGTAGTTGTTATTAATCAAATTTTCCTTTTGATTTCTCTGCAGCTATCTCTAATTCATTTGGCTTTGGTGGACACAATTCTGTGGTGGTTTTTGCTCCGTTCAAACCATAAAAGAAACTCCCTTTCCGCCCCTTAAAATATCATTGATTTTTGGATCTTGGAACTTCCAGAAGCTTGATACAAGATTAGGTGACTATCAGAAAACATTTTCTGCCACCAACTTGAAGATATTACATGCCCTTTGATGTTGATCTTGTAACTGCATTCCAAGAGAATAAGTTCAGTACTTTTTTGGTTCAATAAAATATACGTCTTTTTTCTATATTTTGGTCGTTTGTTGATGGACTCATTCCTCTGCTTACAATAAAAGTTGTACTTGATACTTGTTTTGTGTTTCAAGTTGAACCAATAACCAAGGAATTGAATCACTCTCACCTATCCCCAAAGGCAATTGACTAAAATCTCTTGTATTCTTCAGGAAAAGATACGATTTTAATTAGATTAATAATCTTTGCCTAACAAATATTCTGACTGAATCAAGCTAATTGCTGCTGGTTTCTTCTATAAAACAAACTTTTTATCCTTGTTTCCACCATGACCCACTTGCTACTTTAATTCTGAAGCCTATAATGTTGCCTTTAATCATGACACAGAATTTTATGAAACAAAGCATCAATGACTTTGATTATGTTAAATGTCAGAAACCATTGGCTTTCTTTTCTACAATATGATATAACCAGAGAGGAGTAAGATTCATATAATCTATGTCTAATTACCTTTGACACATCAATCTCTGCTACTTGCTGGAGACAATTAGATAAAGATTCTTGATTGAAAATAACTCCACTGAAAATATTCTAGCTTGGATGAAGTTGCTGATCCCTCTCAAGTTTCTGTTTCTTGATATCATAATATTGCTTTTAAGCCGACATTAAAGTTAATAAACCCGCATGCTTGGTGCTGTTAACTGTTGTGGCTCATGAATCCGATGATGCACATGGGCAACTTGATGTTTGACAAGAACTTAGCTAGCTGCTCTATTGTCCCTCAATCCTCCATTATCTTTTGTTGTAAATTATTTTTAATTTAAGACTAGATTAGACCATCATTGTGCTAACTGCTCCTACTTTTTTATCCCTTTCTCTCATGTTAGACGCCCTTATTGTTAAGGTTGGAGCCAAAGGTAATACCATGACTTTGAGTGGATTAATTTATAGTCCTTTTTTCTTATTATTTTAATAGAAATGAAAATCTTTAAGAGTGTTTATTCTCAAAATTGTTTGATGTGCTCACATTTATTTTTGTATGTATGTAACATAACACTAAAAAGTATGAGTTGAGAAGATATATTATTAAAAACTTTTTTATTATATTTAAAAGATCGTTAAATTTTTAACGTATGATTTGATTTAAATAAATGTCATTAAAAATATAAATTTATATCAAAATTGAAATTTTGATGCATAATTGATTAAAGTTTGTACCATTTTTTCTAATAAGTTTTTTTGTTCTTGTTTCTTGAAAAATAAAATTGCCATTTATGTTTATTATATATATATATATATATATATATATATATGCCCCATAACCGTATAAATAATTCTCCAACGAGAACCCATTAACCGAATCCATTATCCATTCTCGAGGAAATAGTTAAACAATCTTGATGAATGTTTAAAATGCCTCACTAAATGTATTGCCAGCGACTGCAAATTTTTGGTAGGTAACCTAACAGCCTAACGTCAAACTCGTATCCTCGTATGACTCTCTTATCTATTTTTATGTATGTATCTACTTCAATATACATGGAACAATGATTTCGTGTATTATATAATTTACACTATAAATTTTCTATTTTACCTGGTTATAATTATAACTTTTACTTGCCATTATTGTAATTTTATTAGAAAAAAAATTAAAAAGCCTTAACTTTTCTTGTGTTGGATTCCTCCTAGACCTAATTTGAAGCACTAAATTAGTATAAGCCAATTGGGCTTCAATTTGGGCAATGAAAAATGGAAAAAAATGAAAGGCCTATGAAAGGGTAGCAACATGAAGATTTTAGTGGTAACCGGTAAGCTTATTCAGTTTGACCAATCTTTTGGGGTTTAAATGACTTTGCTTACCATTATTATTATTGAAACTGTCAGTTACGAGGGATCTATTCTTGCCTCATTTCAAGATTTTGTTTTCTTTAATTTGTTTTCTTTTCCTATGATTGCTTGGTTAAGGAATGATAATATGTTTTTGGTTTGCACACGCACTGGCACATAATTAAAGTATAAATGTTATATATTATCAGTGAATCATAAAATAATATTTCATAAAAAATTAATTTTAAAATTTTAAAATCTTAAAAAAGATATTTAATCTAAAAATATATCTAAAATTAACTTTTTATGAGGTTTTGTTATATGATTAATTGATAACACATAATATTTATACAATAATAATGTATAAATATAAATTCTTATTATTATTTGTAGTAGATTAGTAGTATTATTAATTAACAAAAGAGTTGGGTTAACTAGTAGTTTTGCTTTGGCATAGATTATTTGAACTTGGAATCTTAAACTTTAATTAAATCAACTTTAACCATAGAAATTAATTAACTTTTTTTCTTTGTGAAAAAATATTTAATTATTATATATATTTTGCTAACCAAAGTCTCTTATATATTTTAAAAACAAACAAACTAATAAAATTAAGTGACATGTACTAAGAATTTGTGAATATTGAAAAAAAAAGTCCATTTTTTTAAATTATTATACAAAAAAAAAATAGCATGTGTTTAATCATGGATGCTGGAGTAACTCGTCATCATATAAATATTTTTTGGTTTGAGACTCTCAATATTTAAAAATTATTTTAGATCTCGATTAATTCAGAGTTAAATCAGATCAAATTTCATATATTCACAAAATTTAAAATCAAGACTTTACTTAAAAAAAATCGAATTTTTTCTTATTCGAACCAATAAATGTTGGTAACTTGTCACCGTATAAATTACTGCTTCGTATAAAGACAAAATTGTGAGACAAGAATCTTAATGTGTCTGGAGTTCAATGGTAAGTTCCAGAGAGGATTTTGTGTCGTTTCCCCCTATCCTAAAATGGGGAAAAAAGTGATCATAGTATTACTATATTAGAAGAAGAAAATTGAGGATATATCCAGTAAAACACAAGGATTTTTGGACAAAAGAGGAATTTGTGAAATCAACACCCATAGGCAAATTTAACACTAGCCTTAAAGTTATCTGATTCAATGGTTTGGAAACCCTTAATCTAGTCAAACAAAAAGCAAAAACCTGTATTATCTAGGGGGGATCAAAATCGCACTTTGCTTCTCCATCCCTTTCCTCGCATTAAAAATAAATAATTAATATTAAAATTAATAATAGCTTTAAAAACTATTTTTCTTAACCCACCATGATTGTCTTCACAAGGATTCCACTAACTTTTATAGTGATTTTTAAGGGATCCCACCTTCAATAAACTAAGCCCTAATTAAATCTCTCTTTTTTTAGCATGTAATAGAGTATTAATTCTCTTAGGTAACCCAACATTCAACCATGCTCTAATCCCAGGTGGGCAAACTGGCAATTTCATCTTCTTGCGGGGCTTTTCCCTCCCATAAAAAATAAATAAATAAATTTAAAATTAAAATTATTTTTTTATAAAAATACAAATATAAAAAAGTTATAATTATAATCAATTATTATATTTATATATAATATATCATTCAATGACCGACTAATAAATTATAATATAATTAAATAACTAAACTCACATATAATGAAATTTAAACATAAAATCTCAGATTTTAAGACTTTTTTCTTATCACTAAATCAAATTCTCATAGTTAAAATTCTATTCTTTTAAATAAAAAATTATATATTATTAATTACTAAATTAAATGTTTGAATTTTTTAAAAAAATATTTATTAATTTGTGGGACGGTGGATATGACCAATAAAACGAGAAATGCTGGCAGTTGCTTATCCTCAATTCTCACTAGTTTGAAAAGGGATTAAAGTTGAAGGTGTCAAACAGTTGCAAAAGATCTGTGAAAGATTAAAATAATACGAAGGTCAAGAAAAATTTTTATATATCTTTTATAGATTTTAATTCATTGAATTTAAATACGAATGAGTCTGAATCAGATAAAAAAAATTTTAGATATTATAGATTGGAGTCCAACTGATGTTTGATAGGATTGATGATTGACTGTTGAAAAAAATAGAGAAAGATTTTAAGTTTTAGGAGTGAGAATTCGACAGTAATATAGTGAAGGTAATAAATGTACCACATAAAACAAATTGTTTCTTTAAGAAAATAAAGTGGTTCAAAAAATTTAAAAATATGAATGAAAGGATAATCAGGATGTATATTAAGAAATTAAATGGAAGTGTCTCCAAATTTTTTGAGTGTTTTGGATTGATATTTGAACAAAAAATGAGAGGTTTTCTTATCAAAAGTTTGAGTGATAAAAAATTTTGATAACTCTGAAAGAAGATTTTTTACTGAAATATTAAAAAATTTATCAAATAAATTAAATTCATCGTCAATGTGAGATTTTTGAGAAAAACAAAAATGAGAGGTTTTTAAAGATAAAGTTTATGAAAAAGAAGGAGTTGAATTCATCATAAAAAAAAAATAATAAAAGGAAGGCAGACAAGGAAAAGGAAGCATGACGTTTGCAATGAACCAGATTTTTTCTGTACAAATGTTAATTTAATTTGTGCATGCCAATTAGGGTGAGCAAAGGAACAGTGGGGATATTGGTCTCCACGTGGGAGGGGGATAGAAAATGAACAACTGTACCAATCATGCTTCTCTTCTCTTTCTTCAATTAATCACAAAGTAGAGGCATAGAATAGAATTCCAGCAACACAAAATTTAACAATAATCAATAATTTTTAATTTTTAAATTATGATTTTTTTATAAAAAATAAAATAAAAGCTCTCTCTCTCTCTCTCTCTCTCTCTCTCAGCTAGCACATAGTAAAATAATAGGAGATGCGGAAATTATAATAGAGAAGTATTATTATTGGTCTCTTGTAGTGACGACAAAGAAAAAGGGGCATCCCCTAGTTGAGGGGCTGCTGGGGAATCCCCGGCATGATCCCTTTTCAACACCGTAGGTGCCTGGGATCACAAGGAGATAGAGCCTCAGTCCTCAGCTCCTGACTCCTCAGACTGCCGGCAGCAAACCGCCCCCCCCCCCCCCCCAACTTCCCACCCCTCCCAAAAAATAAAATAAAATAAAAAGTTAGTATCAATTGGACTAAATTCTGTTTTAGTCTTTATATATGCATCCATTTTGCTTTATATAATA